TTGCTCAAGAAATTCTTAGCGGCCTACCAAGTACCAATATGGTATTTGATGATTATTTAAAATCCCCAAATTCTCTTTCAAATTTTAAGTTTCGCAAAGTAAGTTTCAATGAAGTTAGAGATATCTTGGATAATCTAAAAAATAGTTCGACTAAAGACCCTTATGACATTAATAGTAAAATAGTCAAAACCTTAAAAAATCTATTTCTGTCCCCACTCAATTATTTATATAATGAGTGTATTCACTATAGCATCTTTCCTGACGTTTTCAAAATAGCGAAAGTAATTCCTATCCATAAAAAGGGGCCTACAGACGACCCATCGAACTATAGGCCAATATCATTAACATCTATCTTGGGTAAAGTCTTTGAACGACTCTTAAAGAATCAAATAAACGAGTACTTTGAGTGTAATGATTTATTTCATGACTGTCAGTATGGATTTCGTAACAACAGGTCTACCACCTCGGCAATTCACACTTTATCCCAAACAATTTTGTCAAATTTTGAGGACAGTAAAATAACAGATGGTAGTTTTTATGACCTGACAAAGGCGTTTGACTGTGTCAGTCATAACATCCTACTGAAAAAACTGTCTTATTATGGCTTTGAGAACTCGAGCATTTCTTTGGTGGAGTCATTTCTAACAAATAGACTTCAATATGTTTATCTTAATGGCAAGAATTCTGACAAAATGGCCATCAAGTATGGTGTCCCACAGGGATCCGTATTGGGACCTGTGTTGTTCCTTATATACATAAACGATTTGCCAAATAGTGATAATCACTGTAAATTTATTCCCTTCGCAGATGACACGACAGTTATAAACACTGAAAATAATTACGATAGTTTGAAAGATAACGTTTTGATATCTCACCATAGTATCAGACAGTGGTTTAGTGCAAACAGATTATTCCTAAACAATGACAAAACATCGTCAGTTCTGTTCTCATTACGCTACGTGGGGGATGAGATGGCTAATTACACCCCTCAGGCCAAGTTTCTTGGGGTTTGTATTGACCAGAGGATGACTTGGGAGGCCCACGTCACTGAGCTTTCGAAGAAACTATCTAGAATCATTTTTCTTATAAGAAGTCTTTCCGATTCTGTCTCGACGGCAACTTTATTGACAGCCTACTACGCAGTTTTTCATTCTAATATGATTTACTCAATATTTAATTGGGGTCACTCCTGCCATGCAGAAAAAATTTTTAGTCTACAACGAAGGTGTATACGAATCATTGCCGGGCTTCAGTATAGAGCTGACTGTAGGAAGCAATTTGTTAGATACGGCGTTCTCACTCTGCCTTGTGTATTTATTCTTGAATGCCTTGTTTTCATTAGAGAACATCTGATCAGTTTTGAGTCAAACAATTCATTTCATGAATATTCAACCAGGAATAAAAACCAAATCAGGCACAACTTTCTGCGATTGAACAGAGCTAGAAATGGGACAAATCATTATTGCATTAGATTTTATAACAAATTACCAGTCAATGTCAAAAATCTATGCCCAATTCATTATAAAGGTGTCTTGAAAAACTTTCTTAAATTGAATGCGTTTTATACACTTGATGAATTTTTAAATCATAATTTTGCTAATCTAATTTTAAATTGTAAGTCGAATTGTAATGTTTGTATTTTATAGTTGTCTATACTTTATGTACTTTATGAGTGTTTTTATAATATGATGTGCTTCTCTTTGAATTGTATTTTAATTGTATGCTTTGGCCATGTTTTTCTTTGACGTGTGTAAACATTTTTCTTATGTAATAACACCAATAAATGCTTACTTACTTACTTACTTACTTAAATTTGTAACTACATTTCTATTCATTTATACCTGTTTCCCTTAGGTACATTCCGATCTGGAAATCGTACCGAGTAAATTATTTGAGCTTCTAAAGAATTGCAATGCGCTTCTCCATAAATCAAATGCATATTTGCATATTCTTCATAAGAGTATTCCATTATTTTATTTTAATTTTTCATTAATTAATAATTAATTTTAAGCTGCCTTAATGCTTGTCACCTTTTACGCATCTCCTGTCACATTTAGCAACCTACTAATTTGATTATAATAATGTGATAATAATTCCCCTTTACACAAAATACAAAAATTTAATTATTATCTTGACAATCGTTCATTTTTTCATAAGTCATGAAGTATACCTTTTTTGTAGAAAAGTAACAGGGCTCTATCTGCCTGCGAAGGCGAAATGTCAAATTTGACAGCTCTGTCAAAGTTGCGTAAATTTTAGAACATAATTTCAACCGTCCTTGTACGATAAAAAATATTTTATTCAATTTTAAATGTACAAAGATATATTTGAATGAGCTGCTTTGATCCCCCAAATTTCAAGTTAATCAAAGTAACCCTTTAGAAATTATGGGCAATATTCATTTTTCAACTTCTTACTTTGAGTGACAATAACTCCTCAACAATGGCACCAAAATATGCAAAAACTACTCAAAAATTTAATTTACCCATCAAATTTAATTAATAATAATTTACTACAGTAAGATCATTTCATTTATCAAATTTGTTGCAAAAAGAAATTTGGACAACAACCAGATCATATGCTATGAATCGAGACCGAAAAACAATAATAAAATAACACTCTGTATTATTGTAAATTCGTGGTCAAATCAAATCTGACCCTTTCAACTTGGTATGTATGTCATGTGGTATAACAAATAGGCATAATAAGATAAGAGATATAAAAAATTATATGAACTATAAACTTTTGCCACAACTTAAATTCCATATCTCAAAGAACAAAAATACATTTAGCTAAGTTTACAGTCCTAATTTTTTTCACACACACAGTATGAGCACAGAGAAGGGGTAAATTTAGTTGGCACAAGGAGTAAGGAAGCAAGCTGCTTTTATTTGTAGTAAGAAAAATAAGAGAAACTTACCTCAACCAAATCCTTAAGATTGTGAGACAATCATATTCCAATCCAGACTAAAAATTTGCCAGTGGCATAGTACTAACTGCAAGTCTGTGACGTAATCGGAATTTAAATAAAGCCTCTTCGTACTCGTCAAATGCAGGAGATGTCCCCGTGGAATTAAAATTTGAAATTTAAAAAGACACAGTACGGGTTCTAAAACTTCTCTAAACGAAAAAAGAATTAAATCAAAGCCACGTCTTGGGCATTTGAATTGCCACGTGGCCTTGACAAAAACCGAAGGTTACACACAACGTTGTACTTAAATAAATTAAATAAGAAAACAAGCATTAGCAAAATATTTCAAGAAAAAAGCAAAATACAAAATTACTATAAAAATAAAGGAACCACATCTACATACCAGTTTGAAGGTTTGAAGAATTGTTCCACGATTAAAATGCCAAAATGAAATTGTCGCGAGCACACGATCTGCTTATTTCGAAGGTTAAATGAAAAAGAGCGATTGTATCATTTCACGCGTTGTCATGGTCGGACAGGTAGCACGTTCCTAAATACAGTGAATTCACGAATGTTACTTGTGAGGAGAGGTTCGGTAATTTGAGTAGAGGCTTTATATAAAATAAAGTTCATATAGCGTGAAATAAATAAATGAAACATTAATAAAAATTTTGTTACAATCAACAATAGAGATGAACTGTGGCAAATAATAGTTGCAGCTGCAAATGCTATAAGAAACCTGCACCCATAATTTTTCACTGTTCGAAAATAATCTGAAACATAATTATTGTTTAATTAATCTTCTCGGTATATTTTATGAATTAATTATTTGTTACACAAAAAATGTTATTTATACTGTCGCCGTGGCGTCTGCCTGCCACGCGCGGTGGGCAGAGCCTAAGGTTCCGGCACCGAATGGTATAAAAGAGCGGGAGACCCTGACTCTGGAGTTGAGCAAGCTAGCTAGTTCCGAGCGAGCAGCCGAGCCGAGCAGACGTGTTTGTGAAGCAAAGTAGTGAGCGCAAATGAACATTTAAACGAGGAAAACCCGGCACCTCGTCGGGCTCCGAAGACGAGCCAACGACAAATAAAAAGAAGCCGGCAGAACAGACAACCGCGCCTGTCAAAGAGACCAGGCCCATCGAGAGAATTGAGAAGATGGAAACCGAGACCAATTCGGCCACGAAAACGACTACCAACGCACAAGACAAGGCCAAAATTCCGGCAGTGGTCTTAAGGAAGAAGGAAGACTGGACGGAAGTCAGTAAACGAATGGACTCCAAAAAGATTAAGTTCACAAAGGCTAAGTTAACAGGGGAAGACATCGCCATCCATCGGGAAACGACTGAGGACTATCGCCGCCTCACACGTGCCCTCGCTTACGAGGGCAGGGAGTACCATACATACTCTCTCCCCAGCGAGAGGAGGCTGAGGATGGTAGTACGAGGGCTACCGGACGGGATTTCTGAAAAAGAAATCCAGTCTGACCTCGTAGAGCAAGGGTCCTTTTTCTATTTTTAGTATGTCAAACAGAAAGACAAAAGCTCCGATGCCTCTGGTAACCAGATGCTGCCACCTCGTGGTCCGAGTGGAGGCGCAACGAGCCAGGACTGAGCCGACGCAGTGCTACCGCTGCCAGCGATTCGGTCACGTACAGAGTCGCTGCACCGCGGCGGCTAAGTGCGTTAAATGCGGAGAGGGACACCACTCCGGTAACTGCAAGAAGACACGGGAGACTCCCGCAAAATGTGCGAACTGCGGCGGCGGCCATCCAGCCAGCTATCAGGGCTGCTCCAGCTACCCCAAGTTGGCGGCGAGAAAAGGGGCCACTGGCAACCAACGCAAAGTACCCACCCAGACCACTACAGAACAAGTTAAGTCAACGAACCCCCCGAAGGTGACTGCGGCGAAGAGCTTCGTAGAAGCCGCAAGGCCAAAGCAGGCCCCCGCCGCAGCACCCAAGAGGGGCCCCAAAACCGACAGGAGTGCAGAGCCCGCCAATATGACCAGCATGCTGGCGCAGATGCGGGAGATGTACTTCGCGATGTCGGCCTTTTTCAGTAAAATGCCATCTCTGTTACAGGAGTAAATGGACCCTCCGAAAAGTGTGCAGTCCCTCAGAATTGTTTCCTGGAATGTCGACGGATTCCGGGAGCGAAAAATCGAACTCAAGGAGCTCTTACCCCGTCTAGACGTGGACATGATGATACAAGAGACCAAAGTAGAGGACGCACACACTGTTAGGATTCCTGGCTACCTAGTGTATCGCAGGAACCGAAACAGACGCGGAGGAGGCGTGGCCCTGCTCGTAAAGAGGCATAGATCACCATATGTTGCAGCTTCCTCAACTAGAAAACATGGAAGCCGCCGCCGTATCGATCCGTACTCGCAGGTACGGATACATCGCCGTGGTGACCTGTTATCAGCCCCCTCAGCTCCCACTCACCGATTACGATTTACGCGCGGTCCTGGAGACGCGGCCCCAAACCGTAGCCATCGAGGACTTTAACGAAATCACCCGAATGAGCACGAGCAATTCTTGCAGAACCACAAGAACGTTGCAGCGTATGGACCTGATGGACCGACGTACTACGGTGCTGTTGGAAGACCAGACGTGTTGGATATCGCTTTGCTCAGGGCAATACCGATGGCGCCGACCTAGCGACGCACTACGAGGGGGCGACGAACCATGCTCCTATTCTCGTAACTCTAGGAGACGAGCATCGCGGCGAGGACACCGTTGCCAAGCGGCGGACCGACTGGGGCCTATTCCGCGCAAAAATGCAACGAATATGCCCACCCACTCCGGTCGTTCGCGACGTGGCGGACCTCGAGACTGCCCTCGCGAGCCTTGAGACGGATATCCACACCGCTTTGGAAGCCAGCACCACGGAAACGACGGAGAGGAGGATAGCGAATTATGCAGGTGAGTTACCTATTATGTTGCAGGACCTAATCAGGAAAAGACGTGCGGTGAAAAGAAGAGCCACGAGGACAGCACACCCCCGGGATAAGCAGACGTTGAACCAGCTGAACCGGAGGGTAAAAGCGGCCCTAGAGGAGCATTACCAGGACTCGTGGCAACGACATCTGGAGTCACTGAACCCCGAAGACCGCAGCCTGTGGACGATGCAACGGGCGCTGAGGACCACCCGGAAGCCTCTGCCTCCGATTCACGGAGAGAACGGTATCCTCTACACTAGGTATCAAAAGGCCGAGACATTCGCCGACAGCCTTGAATTACAGTGTAGGGAAAACCTTCTCGACGACGAAGACGAGGACCATGCCGACGAGGTGGAATGACGCGTATGGCGCTACAGACGCCAACCCGACAGAGACGACATTAGGCCGACGACACCCGAGGAGGTGAGGGACATCCTGCGGCGCCTTAACCCCCGCAAGGCACCCGAATGTGACCAGATCGGAAACCGAATACTCAGAAAGCTCTCCCACAAGGAAGTGATGACGCTGCTCAACATCGTCAACGCCATCCTGAGACTGCGAAGATTCCCCGCCAGGTGGAAGAAAGCCGACTTCATCTTCCCGAAACCAGGTAAGAATCTAACCTCTGCTGCCAGTTATAAGCCCATCAGTCTCCTGCCGATGATGAGCAAGGTAGCGGAGAGGATCATCCTGACCAGACTGCGTGAGAGCTCGGACGAATTGCGAGTCATCCCCGACGAACAATTCGCCTACCGCAGCGGACACTCAACGGAGCAGCAGATATTCGGGTTAGTAGAACATCTGTCCGCAGGTTTCAACAACCGAGAATCCACTGTGGCAGTCTTCCTGGACGTCGGTAAGGCCTTCGACAGGGTCTGGCACGATGGGCTTCTGGCAAAGATGCTCGACTTTGGCTACCCTATCGGACTGGTCAAACTGGTGGAGTCCTTCCTCAGAGGCAGGAAGGTGCGCGCGAAGGTGGAAGGGGGCCTATCCACCTATCGAGACGTCGAGGCAGGCGTCCCCCAAGGAGCCGTGCTATCACCGCACCTGTTCAACATCTATACGTCCAACATGCCCAGGACAGAGCGCACTACCCTGTGCCTCTATGCCGATGACACCGCCATAACGGCCCGTTCCCTGAACCCCGATATGGCGAAGAGGTACCTCCAAAGAGCTGTAAGCCAACTAGAGGACTGGTGCAACAGGTGGAAGGTGGCGATCAACCCGGAAAAAAGCACAGGTATTATGTTTTCTCGTAGATACCGAATGCGCCCCCTGGGACACGTAAAGTTCAACGGAGAAGACATTCAGTGGGCGGCCACCGTCAAGTACCTAGAGGTAACCCTGGATCGCACGCTGACGTGGAAGCCGCACGTCGACGCTGTGACGCGCAAAGCGAGGATGGTGAGGGCGAAGCTTTATCCGCTTCTGTGCAGAGACAGCCGTCTCTGCCTGCGGAATAAGCTAACCCTCATCAGAGCAGTACTGCAGCCACAGCTGACGTACGCTGGAACCGCGTGGGGACACGCAGCGAAGACGCAACCTAGCCCGGGTTGCCAACTCCTGGACGCAGGGTGAGTCGAAATTTTTCTGTCTGTTTCAGTACCGCCAGGATCAAGAGACGAAAACGACGACACACACACACCCCCACCTTCCTTATCCCATTCTCCCCTCCCGCGCTAGCCTAAGGGCCACCTTAGCAAAGCGCTTCCTAAGCTGCATAGCTGCACGACTTCACCCAAAACCACCACCCCTGTCGTCGTTTGCGACCGGTTTACACAGACGAGCCGGCGAAGAAAGAAGAGCGCCAGAAGAAAGGGCCCTAGCCGGCGGGGCCCAGCCAGGACAGGAGGAGGCCTCATGAACCGATCGAATCCGGCCGCGTTGGCGGCCCGGAATGACGGGGAAAGGGCCTACCTCTACGAGGCGTCCGGGCCTACAGCGATGAAGTGGGTAAAGAGCGATAATCCCTCTCGACCCTGCTCCATCCGAGGTCATTTTTCCTGCCAAGGACTCTGGAGTTAACTAGTTCCGAACGAGCAACTGAGCCAAGCAGACGTGTTTGTGAAGCGAAGTAGTGAGTGCAAAGAAACAGTGAAGTGGCGGTCCTACAAATTGTATTTTATAAGACAAATATTTCGGCCTTTATTAAGGCTACCCCAAAAAATAATTCTAAACATTTATTGCAATATTATACTAATAACCAACGTTAACTCAGCTTAGGTAGAGAGACTGTCGGCAATTATTTTTGCGATTTTTTTAGTGCCGTGGAGGAAGGCACTATGTAGAGCGACCGCTCGAGTGGTAGCGAGGTCGGCGACAGCAGGCCTAGCAGCCCCGAGTCCGTTGTCGACAGACCTAGCCGAGAGAAAGAGCTGGCGGAGGAAAACGCCAGATTGCGGCAAATGATCGAGAACCTGAGAACCGAACTGCGAGAACAGAGAAAGGCCTCGACGCGCTCGAAAAGTGGTCTCAAGAACAGCACGAGGAGCTGCTGAGCGCCCTCAAGAGGCAACATGCCTCCAAGGAGATTAAGAGAGGAAAACTAGCCGACATCAGTAACAACAACGACAATAACGACGACAAATCCGAGTGCGACTTCCGCAGCGAAAGAAAGGATACCTCCAGTCATCCTCAGGAAGAAGGAGCAGCGGACGGAAGTCAGTAAGAAGATGGCCAACAAAACCATTAAGTTTACCAGGGTCAGGTTGACGGGTGAAGGCATCGCCCTCTACTCACAAACGCCTGAAGATTATCGGCGCCTTACGCGAACTCTTGCGGACGAGGGGAAAGAATTTCACACTTTCTCCCTCCCAAGCGAGCGAACGCTGAGGGCCGTAATCAGAGGGCTGCCAGATTGGATTTCCAACGGGGATATCTGATCTGATCTTCTGGAACAGGGATTTAACGTTTCCAGGATGACTAGTCGGAGGACCAAGGCTCCCATGCCTCTGATGCTCGTTCAGGTACCCCAGGAGCAGGAGCAGCTCCTGAAGGTGACAAGATGCTGCCACCTTTTCGTCAGGGTCGAGCCTCAGCGAGCCAGAACTGAGCCAATACAATGCCATCGCTGTCAAAGATGGGGAGATTGGGGAGAAGGCTCATTGATCTTCTGCGCATCCTATTTTCGAGGGACACTATGAGTGCCGCCATTTTGAACATGAATTTTGTTTTGTTTTGATATTTGGTGAGAGAATAAGGTTAAGTTTCGTGAATTATTTATTAGTTACTATTTGTTTATGAACATATAATTTACGCCTGGGCGTTTTAAGCAAATTTGCTCTGTGGACATTTTTTAATATTCGATACATCGTTTTTATACTGAAGAAAACGTTTATTGTTTATTATTTTTGTTATGTCGTGTGCTGTGAGGGGTGCCTTAACATAAGGCGTTTTAAACCAAAGGGAATTACATTTCATCGGTAAATGGTTTTATGTATTTATTTCTTGCAACAACTGTTTAAATTGTTTTGTAGCTTTTCAAGAGGTGATTTGTCTATAGAATGGGTAGAATGTCTGAGATTCGATAACGAATTTAAATGGTCAGAGAATAAATTTGTTTGTACATGTCATTTTAAAGCAATAGATTTCGTGAAAGTTGGAACTCAAATTCGCCTAAAGCCTGATGCAATTCCAAATTTAGAGGCCCATTTAACTAGTAAAACCGACGCGTCATCCACAAGTTTAGTGAAAACATTAAATACCAAAAATATGTTTCATTTTCTTCATCGATGTCATCATCAGATGATACGGCAGAGCGTTCTAAGCTTAAACGGAACCTTCGGTAATTTTACTTTTTTGTTGATACTATTTTCTTTAAATAAATATTAATTTTTTATTTTTATTAATTATATTTTTCCTGACAGTCTATATTATTATTTTAGTGAATTGTCATCTAGTCAAGATACTTCTGCCAGTACTGATAGCAGCACAAGGAGAAAACGTATAAAGTTTTTTCAAACCCATCATAGTTATAGGCACGTCTTAGAAAAAAACAGTAATTAGGTTACGCAAGTTATACACGTGACCTGTATTTTGTTTCCCACCCCAACCAATGACTATATTGCTTAACTTACATGTTACATTATTTCAGTATATCTCCTGGTAAAATCAAGAAAAAATATTCAGAATTAAAGAAGACGCAGTTAAAAGTGAGAAAAAAGGTATATTCTGCTAAGAAGACCATTCAATCACTGAAAAGGCACATAACAACCTTAAAAACAATTGCTTCTCAATTAAAACAAGAAAGGAGTCTCAACTAAAGTGCTATACAGCATTTAGAAAAATGCTATGAAGATGTACCTCACGTATTAATGAGCAGATATTTAAAAAATTTAACTCGGGGAACTGTTACAAGGGAAAATTATGCTGAAAAGTTGCGAAACTTTGCCTGTACGCTACATTTTTATTCAGGTAAAGCATATAAATATGTCCGAAGCATATTTGCACTAGCTCTGCCACATCAGTTTGTTATCAGGAAATGGTACTCAATTCCTAGATAAATGATACTGTAGATATGAAACTTGAACAGATTTCGTGGTCAGCAACAGCGCTAACTGTTGACACTTTCTCCAACTTCTATTGCTTTCCTTTTCTAGAAATTATCGGTAATACAGTGAGTTAAATTACCTGTAGCCGGTAAAAAATGCAAACGCCATCTAGTTGTACGCTCTACAACTATATACCTACCCAATATTTGTTTTAAAATTACATAACAAATCTCACCCTACACAGATCAGTCAGAAATTGGTTTTGTAAAATAACTTTCACGTAGATAATTTCACCATGAGAAAATAAGTACATTTGATAAAAAGCATTAAAATCACTCAAGCATTAAAGATACTTTTAAAAGCTCTAATAGCCTTCCTACTTAAAATAAGAAATAATTTTGATACTGTAACTTTTTGAAATGTTAGTTGAAAAAATTTCAAATTTCAGTACATATTTTGAAAAAAAAGAGTGGAAATCATTATAGAGTTTCAGTGCTTTCTATATTGTATTAGCTTTCACGGTGAATAAAAAAATATTACAAGTAAATAATTTTACTAAACCAATCTTTGATTAATTCTTGTAATAGAGAATTATTATGCAACTTTAAATTTTTCGTTGTGTTGATATACATAAAAAAACTACCTACCTCTGATCACGACAAACTTTCTGGACATTTTTTATTAAAAAAAAACAAAAAAAACAAAACATTTTACTATTACTAAAAAAATGTGATTATACAGGGTGATTCATTAACAATGGGAAAGTCGAAAGCTGAAGATACTACACGTGAAATGGTGACCATTAGCGTAAACATGCCTTATCCGAATGTTGATAGTTTCGGAAATACAGGGTGTTGAAAGTTAAAT